TCTCTCTCTCTCTCTCTCTCTCTCTCTCTCTCTCTCTCTCACACACACACACACACACACACACACACACACATACACACACACACACACACACACACACACTTGTCCGGCTCGATCCATGGATAGATAGATAGAAAGCGCGCATGTGCGAAAGCCACACTGAGAGTCATTTGGGGGAGTCTTTTTAACGGGGTCTCGACGTCCAGAAGATGTCTTGAACTTGCAAGGAATGACAAAAAGGTGTGATTATGGCCACGATGTCTCGACTGGGCTGATGATGTAAGACAATAGACCTGTCATATCATGTTATTATGGGCACCATGTCCCCACAAGTTTGAGTATGCCCTGAATCACAAAATGGATGTACAAAAGCATTCTTTTTCTCCACCTTGAGGGTCCTCAGGAGATCATCTATCCCTTGTTTTTCTTTTCTTCTTTTTCTTTTTCATTTTAAAGCGAAACATGTCCCTCTATCACGACTTCATGAGTTCCCCCATCCAGCACCTACATCCTCACTGTTGATGCCAAACCATTCTAAGCCCACCAACTTTAATGCTGAAGACAAGGGTCTACTAGTGGATTAATATACAAGTTCTCTTGCAAAAGCGTTTGTGCTTTGATCCGAAAGGGGACGCTTGGGCTCGTTCCCACCTCATGAAGCTCCCGACTAATAGATTGGAGTAAGTTTAAAAAAAAAAAAAAAAGTAAAGAGAGAGAGAATGGTGCGGTGCAGGCAACAGAGCTACTAGCCTACTGCTACATCTTTCGGTGTCGCCTCCACCATCTCCGAGGCTGGAGCTATGATGCAAGGCCTTAGAGGCCAAGTCCCATTAGTGAGGGTTTAGTCTTCCTTTCAAGTATTTTTCAACGTGGCCTCCATGCAGATTGGATGGAAGGAACATGTGCCTACTTGAAACCGTGTCTAATCCCCCGCTAGTGGGACTTGGCCCCGGGCCTTATATGAGATAAGCCCCAGGTTCTTATATGGGATGAGGCTGGATGAGGGGTGATTTTCGGGGAAGCATAACCTGCAGGCTTCAGCACTTCATTGTTGTGCACTTGGGGAAGCACGCGAATAGGCGCTGTCATTGAACCCTCCTCCTGCTGTTGGTGAAAACCAGCGAGGCCATAGTTTGACTGTTGAATCTGATGCTTCTGAATTAAACCGCTAATACACTACTACACGGCCCCAGCCTTGCAGAAAGTTTTTGTCGCCACAAGCAAAGCTTGGAGGCGCCGCGTGGCTAGGCCCGTCGTTGAAAAAAAAACATTGGAGGCCTCCGAAGTGGTGCGGGTTTCATGCTGACACCCGCGGGCCGATATGTGGTGTACTGGAGGTTTAAACCACCAGCACTTCGCCCAATTATTGAAGCAGAGCCTGAAAATGCCATGGGATTCATATTTTGCCAAGCCTGCAGGGGCGGGAACCAATATGGGACATTTGTTGCTTGGCACAGGTGCCACACCTTATGCTGGAGCTGATGCCAGCAGTTGGAACATTAAGAGGCCGCGGTCTTAGTCTTTCCACTTCTGTCCCTTGGCCTTGGCAGAGGAGCAGCCAAATCCATTCTCAATGGCAGGTGTTGGATGCTCCCAGTCTCACGGGGAGTGAATGCACAAACAGCCCAGCTGTGTGACCATTAAAAGGGCCTTTACCCGATTCAGACCCTGAATGACGAACGCAGCATTATGGGTCACTCGGCCAGAGCCTGACTCGTGAAAAGCAGATCAAAAGACATGTTCTCTGGGTCAAAAGTCACATCCTCACTAAAGTAAAAGGTCATGTAAAAGGTCACAGTTGTGCCCCTGGACGAACAGTTGCAGTATTCAATTGTGGGAGTCACATCTGTTCATCCAGGGGGTGTGCAAGTTATGTCTGTTCGTACAGGAGATGTGTTTGTTCGTACAGTAAGTGTGTCTGTTGAACAGTAGGTGTGTCTGTTCATAAAGAAGTCAAAGAGACAAGGTCCAAGTCCAGATTCAAGTCAAAGGGAAAGTCTAGATATAGATTGGAAGTCCAAAATTCAGGCCTGAAGGCCGCAGCAGCAGCAGACCTTGAGGATAAGGAACTGGGACACACTCCACAGAGGCTTGGGACTGGGAAAGGACCCAAGGAAGACTGAATTCAGACCTCGCCAAGGGAGGCCAGCACTATAAGAAAAGAGGCAGCCTCCCCACAAGGCAGACTCCCCATTGGCATTGATGCGTGGAAGTGCTGTGGCACTTGTGCGCTATGCGGCTATAGTGCAGGGGAGGAGCGCTGGCTTGAGAGCTTCTCCAGAAGGAAGAAGTGCTGGGCACTGGCTGCAGAAGAGGCCATAGCTGCGCCAGCTTGTGTCAGTAGTAGTAGAAGGGTTAGTAGTAGGATATCAGTGAGTAGCACTCAAAGTAGATTCTCGTAGATAGGGAGTGTGCATGCATGATGAGACGAGGGAACTAGGACAGAGATCTTGAGAGAGAAGAGAGGGAGAGAGAAGACAGGTTATGAAGTTGGATATGGTGGATACTTACCTGTTGGCACCATACTTGTGATCTGTGGGGAGACGCTGGCTGAGCCAGGCCCTTTCGTTCTATGAATACCCCCCGGCGGCGGACAGGCGCGGACAAGTCCGTGGCCGCGGACGTGCCGCTTTGGCGCCACATGGCAGCCAGAGGGGAGGGGGTCTCGGGATTCGGGAACCGCCATTCGGCGGCGCAACCCCTGCTCCACCCCCCCCCACAAAAAGAAAATGGAAAAAAAGCATCTTTTGGTTGGGGGGGTTGGGCAGCGAACGAGGAGAAATGAAAGAAAAAAAAAATGAACGCGGTTTTTTTTTTTTTTTTTTTTTTTTTTTTTTCGTTGATTGATTGATTGATTGATTGGTGGGGGCGGGGTTGCCCCACACCGCGATTCATTGATTGATTGTTTGATTGATTGATTGATTGATTGATTGATTGATTGATCGACTGATTGATTGATTGATTGATTGATTGATTATTTTGATTTTGCTATTTTTTGATTGATGGATTGATTGATTGATTGATTGATTGAGTGGTGGGGGAGGGGTCGCCCCACCCCCCCGCCACCCACCACGCGCGCGCGCGCACACACACACACACACACACACACACACTCCCCCAAGCTCCCGCTGCGAGGGCGGACGAAGGCGCAGCGCACACACACACACACACTCTCTTAGCTGTTCTCTCTCTCTCTCTCTCTCTCTCTCTCTCTCTCTC